CCCCCCCCCCCCCCCCGCCCCCCGCCCCCCTTCAACAGGCAGACAAACCTGTGAATCAAGAGACATTCAAACGAAGCAGGTAGAGAAACAACTTCCGGGTTCCCGAACCCATCGGGATTAACGATGCTGCACGATGCATGAGACATCTGGTCCGGAGACCCTTTTTTTCCTTCTCTCCCCATAACACGCGACGACAGAGCCAATCACCCCTTTCCCCACCCACCTGTGGGCCTAACTCTCTCTCAAAGGACAATTCCGAACCGCGCTTACACGATTGCAAAGCACACGCACAAGCATCGACCCACAGACCATCGATCGCGACGAACCCAAACAACCCTGTCGCACCTAATGTTTGATACCCCGTTGCCATGACGACGGACATCCCCCGCATGGCGTGCTCGCCCTCCACCGGCAGTCCCTCCAGTCACTCCCGGGACCCGCCGCCGTCCAGGCCGACTCTCTCGCGATGGCGAAGGGAGAAGACAAGTCGTGGGTGTTCGACTCCTTGCTGGAGTTCCTCACGGGTCCCATCTGGAACATTCCGGTTCTCACCTTCATCGAGGAGCGGAGCGTCGGTGAGTTTCGTTCCGTTGCGGGGAATTCGTCCGATTCTTCGCTGGAATATCGATTTCGTGCAGGCAAGGGATGAGTAAAAAAAAAAAAAAGAAAAGCTATTCGAAGACGAAAATTTTCGAGAGCTGCAAAGTATCAGTTACATTCTCTGGAGGGGAGGCCAAAAATCAAGGTCAAGGTCTGACTGAAGACCGATCTTAAGTTTAGCCTGCAGAGGAGCAGAGTCCTCGAGGAATCCTTGAGGAATCCTCGAGGAGTCCTCGGGGAAGAAACTCTGGAGAATTTAGCCAGTTTTCCCTCCCTGCGACAGGAACAAACGATAGAAATTTTTTTGCGCTCACCATACACTGAAATTAAGTTGGGGATCATGCACTGATGTCCGTTTCCGCGACCTACGAGGAGCTCAGTCGGTGATGACACACCAAGGCATCGTTGCTATTGCAACGCTGAGGCAAGAGGAGCTCCTTCCTCGACGACCGCCGGAGAGAGACAGGTGCCGTAAGAGCAAAGCATGCGCCATTTACACGCAGTTCGGTTTTTCAAGTAAATGTAGATTGAAATTCGTCGCTCGATGAATACGAGGTCGAACGGCACGATACCGTAGTCCAAGGCATCACACCCCACCCGTGCTCCACCTACCGGCGAACATGGAAAGAACTACGCAGACTCGAGCGAGTGCGACATTCTTCGCTCGATGCTTTAAGCTGGCAGGCTTGGACTCCCGCGAGAGATCACGCTCGCCCGCCTGCACGGAGGATTCGAGAGCGCGACTCTCGTCGTAAGTATGCCTCGCCGGTGGGAGAGTCTCAGAGAAAAAGGCAGACTCGATTTCAAGTCTCGACACGTCGTTGGGCTCCCATACGACTACTCGAAGCATCTGCTGAGATTCGTCGCGAATGACGAGTCGAGCCGGATTTATACCTGGGGCGGCGAGGACGCAACTGACCGGTCGCGCAGGGCACGACCTACGTCCTTCCTTTACCGCCAGCCAAGCGGAAGGAGTGGAAACCGCGACGACCTGGCCCTGCGCCCTGCACCACCGACTGGGATCCCTCCGAGGACCTGCTCTCTGGGATCCCCTCCGAGGACCTGCTCTCTGCGTCTGGCCAGGGCCGTCTGACGAGTCTAGGAGGAACGAGCGGCGACCTGCACGCTCTGCGGCGCCGCTTGAGGTGGTAGCGATTTGCTCGTCGGCCTACAGGGGATGTCGATCGTTTGGAGAGGCTCTTTAGCCGTTTCTCGATATCGACTACGATCAATATGGGCACCAGTGCATGATTGCTAATTCGGTTTCCACGTGACAAATTTTCTCCAGCTTGCTTGTATGAATGATATGATGGCCATGAATGAATTTGCACCTGAAAAAAAGAGTGAAATCTTGTAAAAATGTTCGTTCTCGAGGACAACGTCCCTTTGCGATGATGGGTCGATCTCATCTGAAAAGTGACAAATTCTGATTCCAAGACGACGAAGGTGAAAAGCCTGGGTGCAGCGATCGTTGGCAATCGCTGCACCCTGAGCATGATAGCCACAGCTATCACGGGTCACGGGTCCGGTTTCCGGCCACACAACCACGTGTCAACTGATCCCTGACAATTCGAGCGGTCATTCCACGACCTCACCCTTTAACCACGTGCCGTTCGTGTGAAATCAAATATCTGTAATTGAGGGTAAAGCCAAGTATTACCGATCGTGAACTGGACTTTGAGCATGACCTTCGGCTCGGCCTTGACCTTGGCCTCCCACCCTCCCCAGGGTAGTTATGACGCGGCGATTCGGTGAAAGGACCTCGCACGTGGCGGATGCGAAAAACAGCCCCGAGAAACAGCCCCGCGGAAAACTGAGCAATTTTTTTGTCTTTCTCTCTTCCTACAGTTTTCGACCCCGAATCAGATGCAGATGAAGAGTTCCAGAAAATCTTTGCTGAGTACAAGTACCTCGTAAGTCTCCAAAAAAAATAAATAAATAAAAATATGTATAATATAATAACTTTTTTGCCGAACGATGCGACCCCCCCCCCCCACCTCAAGGTCGACCGGATGCTGGGCAGCTACATGCAGGACCTGGACATCTCGGCCGAGGACTTCCACGAGGCCTGCACCGAGGTTACCACCACTTCCGAGATCATACCGGCCATCAAGCAGGTCAGCGCGACTTTTCCATCCTCGCAAATAATACATGCATGTATTATTGAATTTAATTTATCGGTTAAAAAAAATAATTGGAATGACCTGTTCACCTCCTCAGAGAACTAAAAAATTTATTGAAAGACTTTTCAAATGAAAACGGTCCCGACGCATTCGCACTTCTAAACTGTGGAAATGCACGCAAAGCTTGAGCACAAATAATGCGAATTAATATATAATACAAATGAATAAATAATGGAAATGAATATATAAAGCCTGCATCAACAGCATAAGCGAAATAACCCCAGGGTAACAAAAATATCAAACGTTTCGAGCAGGTGTTGTACGAGCAGATCTGGGCCGCCGAGAATTACGACATCTTCAAGCGGATGATGATCGAGAAGAACATCGACTTGCAGCTGCAGGCTCTCGAGATCCTGCAGGCGAAGTACGGGATCCTGCTGAGGAGGGACGAGGAGGTCCCGTCCCTCCCGGGGACGGGGGCGGGGGCGGGGTCCGATGAGGCCAACGTCATCGAGGCGGTCACCAAGTCAGTCGCCTTTCGGATCCGTTGCGTTTCTCTGATTTTCGCGAGGATCTCGGGGCGGAATTTCGGGGGATTTGGGAGCTGCCGACCCGCCGAACGCGAAATTTACGCAGACCCGACGGAAGTAAAGGGACGCCCGCTGGGCTTCAAATGGGCAACATTATTGGCAACTATGAGGAAAGGAAGAATGCTGCTTTGTGTCTCGTCGGGGCTGCACAAGGTTCTAGAATCATACTTTCAAACTTTCGAACTTTCGAACTCGAGCGTCTTTTGACCTCTGTCGAGTCTGCGTATTCGTCGACGATCGCGCCGAGATTCGCGGTTCGATTCGCGTCGGACCGAACGGAACGGCGCCTGGCCGCATTTCAGAAACCGAAATCGAGCCGCGTCTCGCCGTGCCACGTTTCATTCGCGAATGAAAACTGTTCCATCGATGCAAATTTCGAAATATAAAAAAAGACGAGAGGTTCGACTTCACATTCAAGGGCGTTTCCCTTTTTTCCGTTCGGTTTCTGCGAGACTCCGCGTTCTGTCGAAATTATCGGTCGGGTTCGATTCGTTTTATGAAAGCGATGGAAATTTTCATGGCCGTTGGCTCATCGCGATCCAAATCACAGGCTCCTTAATCGTTCGTGCAATTGAAAAACGATCCAATGAAGGCCTTTAAATTAACAGCGACCTTATTTCTGACCTTCCGCTTCTTCCAATGAAGCCGGCTTCCGACGGCATCATTCCGTCCGCGATTTTTTCGCCCGCGAACCAGGACCCTCAGGTCCCCAAAATAAAGGACACCGAACCCTCGAATCCCCCAGAATGGCGATATCCTCGTCGGAAAAGGACGAAGTCGGGAAGATGCTGGCCGCAAGCGAGGCGGAGCGGCAGAGGCTCATCAGGCTGAAGCCCGTCCGGGCCCCGCTGGTGGGCGGGACCCCGCCGCCGCCGCCGTCGTCGTCCTCGTTTGCTCCTCTTGCAGGTCGCGTCTCCGCATTTTTTTTTTCTAAGAGTGAAGTCGGGTGTCGAATTTTTATTTTTCTTTTTTTAGAAGAGGGAGACGAGGTGGTGAGGGCCGAGGAGGGACGGGTAAAGCGGGGCAACATACCCACTTCCGCCCCTGCTGTATGTCACTTTTTTTCTTTCGTTTTTTTTTTCAATATGAAGGGTTGTTTGCACTTCATGGAAGCGAATGCGAACTGGCATTTTAAAAATTACAGGAAGTAATTTTAGGGCTTGAACATTAGGGTTTGCAAACACGTGCATTACCTGTCGGTCAGTGTGGTGTCGCCAGTTTGCAACGCGAAAGTGAGAAGGAAAAAAAAAGTAGGATCTCTCCGAAAATCGATATTTGGTCGGAGGGATACATTACTTGCTGAGGAAGGTCTTTCGTATTTTACGATCAGAAATTGGTTCAAGGTCAAAGGTCAAAGGTCTCCTAAGAGACACATCAAAAGCGAACTCCAGAGACCATTAAAATGGTCAACAAGTCCATGAAAAAAACTCGCCGACATAGAGAATTCTCGTCAACAAGTTGCGCGACTGCCAAATCACGTTTTGCCAAATAATCAAGAAAGGCTGGAAAAGCAACTGGTGTTCTCAAACTGCAACCTCGTCAGAAAGAAAAAGCAACTGCAGAGAGCTCTCTGAGCGCCATCTAGCAGGAGAAAGGCGGAAAATGTGGTCATCATAGATTAAGCATGGATTTAGGTTAGTGAACCGAGCAAAGTTCGAGCCGAAAATTCGCGATTGTTGCAGATCCGCATTTTGGCCAAGAACGTAAAGATCGATTCTGAATATCAGCGGGAACGAGTTTTGAGGTCAAATTTTGAAAAGGAAATCCTTGAACTATCGAGCCGAGTTCAAACCAACTGCTCCCTTCTCGAACCGAACGGGGGAAGCCACAGGAATGACATCGACCCCGTTTCTGGACATTCCTGCGAATTCCCCAGATGCAAAACCGATGGACTTCTGGGCATTCGATTTGCTGATGAGGTCAAGGATGATAGGGGAAGGGAAAGGGGGGGGGGGTTTAGGGGGTTAGAAGCCCCCCCCCCCCCCCCCCCCCCCCCCCCCTCGCCCCCCCCCTCG